CACTCACCTCAGCCTCCCAAAGGCGCGAGATTACAGGCTGAGCCACCGAGCCTGGCTTAATTTTTTTTTTAATTGTAGAGACAAGGTCTCACCAAGTTGCCCAGGCTGGTCTTGCACCCCTGGGCTCAGGTAAACCTCACCTCAGCCTCCCAAAGTACTAGAGTGCTGGGATTACAGGATTCAGCTACCGCGCCCAATCTTGGATTTTTTTTTTTTTTTGAGTAGAGGTCTCTATCTCCAGGTTGGAGTGCAGTGACACCATCACAGCTTACTCTAGTCTCAACCTCCTGGACTCAGATGATCCTTCTGTTTCAGCTTTCCAAGCAGCTGGAACCACAGTCAAGTGCCACCACACTTGGCTGATGTTTTGATTTGTTGTAAAGACGAGGTCTAGTCATGTCACTCAGGTTGGTCTCAAACCCCTGACTCAGGTAATCCTCTTGTCTCTGCCTCCCAAAGTGCTGGGATTACAGGCGTGAGCCACCACACCCAGTTTACACTTATTTTTAATTTTTATTTTTTTGAGTTGGTGACTCTGTTACCCAGGCTGGAGGGTAGTGGCATGCTCATGGCCACCGCAGACTCGACCTGCTGGGCTCAGGTGAGACTTCTGCCTCAGCCTTCCAAGTATGTGGAACTACAGGCATGCACCACCATGCCCAGCTAATTTTTCTCAATTTATTGTAGAGATGAGGTCTCATCAAGTTGCCCAGGCTGGTTCCAAACCCATGGGCTCAGGCAATCCTCTCACCTCAGCACCCGAAATGCTGGGATTATAGGCATGAGCCACTGCACCCGCCCTACATTTATTTTAATACAAAAATTCAATTTTATGATTTAAAGAAGTACCTAGTAACCAAGTAATGCTACACAATAACCATAACAATCATATTATTTGTATTTCCTTTCAAGTTTCTCCCTTGATTAACTATCTGTGGAATTGTCTGATGGCCCTCCTCAAGCCTCTCTTCTGGATACCCACTATTCCCTGGATGGACAACTCACTTCTTCCCCCACTCTCATTTTCCTCTACCTCCAATAAAAAAGGGCCTCCTAACTGATTTCTTAGCTATCCAACTATTCAAAACGAGATTTTGTGCTGGGCTCCGTGGCTCAGCCTGTAATCCCAGCACTTTGGGAGGCTAAGGCGAGTGGATTGCCTGAGCCTGCGGGTTCAAGACCAGCCCGGGTAATTTGGCAAGACTTCATCTCTACAATAAATCAAAAGTTAGTTGGGTGCACTAGTGTGCGCCTGTAGTTCCGGCTACTTGGAAGGCTGAGATAGAAGGATTGCTGAAGCCCAGCAGGTCGACGCTGGGGTGGCATGGGTAAACCATTGCACTCCAGCCTGGGCCACAGAATGAGATGCCAACTAAAAAAAAAAAAAAATGAGATTTTGTTACGGTCCACCCTTAATACCAATAATTCAAAGGGGCGGCCAGGCTCGATGGCTCAGCCTGTAATCCCAGCACTTTGGGAGGCTGAGGCAAATGGATTGCTTGAGCCCACAGGTTCAAGACCCATCCAGGCAACTTGGCAAGACCTTGTCTCTACAATAAATCAAAAATTAGCTGGGCATGGTAGTGTGTGCTTGTAGTTCCGGCTACTTGGAAGGCTGAGGCAAAAGGATCGCCAGAAGCCAGCAGGTCGAGGTCACGGTGACCGGGAATGTGCCACTGCACTCCAGTCTGGGCGACAGAGTGAGACTCCAACTCAAAAAAAATCAAAGGGACAGGGAACTGGTAGAAAGAAGTTTATTTCTGAGTTCGAATCCAGGTAGCAGAGCCAGACTCAAGGTCTTTTTAAAACGGTTCTGCTCACCTTCCAGGTTTTTACCGTTCACTTTTGTAAGTCCAGAGTTGTTAGTATGTTAGCCATGTGACCAGTAGAACATTGTATAGAACTTGGGTTTTAGCTGCATTGATCAATAGTGACATTTTTCAGTCCAGACTTCCTGGTGCCAGGTATCAGAGGTATCTCATAGATTTTTATCAGTAGGACCCGGCAGAAGTGTTAATTATGCTCACTATAGATTAAAGGGAGTTTACAAGGCCTAAGACATCATGCATTATGCAAAAGTTATACAAATCACAAACTTGATTACATTGATACAAAAGGTATGTAAATCACAAGGCTTACAATTACATTGATATTATATATATATATATATTTTTTTTTTTTTTTATTTTTTTATTTTGAGTTGGAGTCT